ACGCAAAATACAACGTTTAACGTTCAACCAGAAATCCAACTTCCTTGCATTGGTTTTTGGTTGATTAATTTTTGGGCTCCGTCTCATGCCATTAACAACTACATTTGCTTGCGATTACCGGCCAGCCCTCTCAAATAATTCATTCATTGGCATCAGTTATTGACGTGCATCGATCTTTTTACCATAATGAACTGAATGATTCAGAATTAGATCAGCCACCAGAGGTAGCACCCCGATCTCTGGAAAGAAGGGCTTTTTAAAAAACGGAAAAAGTGGAAACGAAATCTACACATGATGCCAAACCGAAAACAACGTAGACAGTTCGCTGCCTGATCTTAAAAAGACATGTCGTTGGGAAAATTTTGCAGAAAATGCGTACTCAAACAGGATACTTAACAGCGCGGCGCCTTTTTGAAGTGTTGGGAAGAGCTGAGGCCATTACAGACGCAGTTGGTTATTTACCCTGCAGATGGGTATAAAAACATGTGTAAATTAGGCCCATCGCCGGTGGACACCCTCACAAATAGGACAAATAAATAAAATGTGATCTTCCCCTTCTTAGGTTAAGTGGGGGAAGTGCGCTGATGTTAGCATCCAAACACAAAGATAATTGCTTGCGATTTGGCTGGTTATGGGTCCAGCTCAAGGTAGCACATATATGTATCTGACTCTGCATGGGTTTGTTCTGGACTAACAAATTCAAGCAACGAAATAAACAAATATGCACGAAACTTACAGCAAAAGCAACTGCTACGAAAACATTCCGTGTTACACAAGCGTTTTGGGTTAAAATTAGTCACAAGGAGCAGGATTACATACCTCCTGGATTTTTGTGCTCCGATCTCTCTCGCATTAAGCAGCAACGTCCTGCATCGGAGGTCAACTTCTAATAAGCTAATATAGCTAATAAGGCTGCAGCTAATATTACCCCCGTAAACTCTTGACTTCAGTCTCAAAGTAGAATAAAGACAATAAATGTCAAGCAAAAACCATGACATTCTAGGTATGCATGCCTTTCTCCGGTGAGTTTTGGCATTAAGATTTTGAAGTGGAAGATAAAAACGATTCGAAGCCTAACTGGAATCTGGAACATGAGACGTTTATGTGGTGCACCGCATGTGAAGGTATGTTCATGCCGAGACATTCTATAACAGGTTGGCCCATCTTACTCTTGCAAACATATTTCGTACCTTGTGAACAACGGAATACATATGAGCATCAGAAGCAAACCAAAGGGGAACTGGGCTAATGAAATAGAGCAAGTGTTTGGACTGATGGCACAATAGGTACTTTAACGGTACCTAGTTCACTAGATACCTCACTATCAACATCATCATCATTATATAGAATTATTATCACCAACGCATTGGATTTCAAAAATGAAGTGATTTCTTCGAAAAATAAACAATTTTGGAACTTACCCAAGTTTTTGCTTGTAAATTTTTCCTTGTAACTTATCATAAATATAATACCTATAAAATTAATAATAAATGAGGCGTAAATCACAGCGTCCACAATTATAGGAGACATTAATGATTTGGCGGCAGGTTAGATCAACTTTGCTAGCTCAGCATCAAAAGCAAATTTTAGAAAGTGACATCTCTTGGTGTAACTCCACACACCACCAGCCACCCCTCCCAAATCTCTTAAAAGGCCGCATGTCACCACCCCACATTTGCGACGAGTGAGTCCCGCACCACCGTGACCGTACCAGACTGTTCCACACCGGTCACCGCTCACGCTGCACGCCACTCTCACGACCGAACACCCCTGACTCCTGCTGCACGCAACGCTTGTCGTGCCGCGCACCCCGCTCTCATGCCGCACGATCCCGCTCTCCTGCTGCGTGGACGGCCCTCACCTCGGCGTGTCCTGATCGGTGTGACGGGACCGCGTGCGAGCGCGGACTCGAAGTCAACGCCTCACGCTGTTGTCGAGCCCGTCCGGGGCACCGGCGGACGTCAGGCGGGCCCATCACCGGCGCACTCACTCATCATGTCACGACTATCCCACGACGGCGCCCCGTCCAATAGGGTGACTTTTGGCCAATCAGACTAATTTGCCCCGGCCGCCGACGACCGCGGTGTAAAGACAGGTTACGCGCGAGCGTGCAGACAGCTCGCCTCGCCCGATGCTCCACTCCGCCGACAGTCCCGGGGACAGAACCGCTGGGTTTTGCGGAGGGGGAGGGTGAAGGGGGGGGGGGGCGGGGAGTTCCGTGCCGGCAGCGCGTACTCCGGTAGAATCACGGTCGTGTGCAACAGGACGGCGTAGAACAGACAACGTCGCAGGCTAAGATTCGCGCGGAGTTATCAACGCTTTAGGCCCGGAGCGCCATGAAACGATATAGCACAGTCACCTAAGGGCAAAGCGGAGGTCATTTCGTTTTTTCCGAAAAGAGTCAGAGAATATCTTTGCAATTGTTCTGTTGTGCTGCGCGGTGTTCTTTGATGCATTTTTACAATAAGTGGAAAAGTAAAAAGGACACCGACACACCGAAAGGACAATCCGTGTCAGACGGTGCGCCAGGTGTTACAAAATGTCCGGACATGTTGCAACACGGTCCGAAGTCACGCCTAATCCAAGAAGTGTCAACCAAGAGTGGCAAAGCGATCAGAGAAAGTAAGTGGTCCAGGATAATTTTTAGTTTCAAATTACATTTCTCACTATGCGCTGTATGTCTGCAAACTGAAAGCATGCATATATATGTATATATATATATATATATATATATATATATATATATATATATATATATATATATATGCATGCTTTCAATTCGCAGACATACAACGCGCAGTACCAGCGGAACTCTATTTCTCGGGTAGCCAACATTGCAAATACATTTCTGCAGTTACTCGTAGCCCAATTTGTCCCCAGACCGGGAAAGGACGCTGTCTGAGCCCCGTCTTCGGGTTCACCGGCTCGGCGTGATTCTGCGTTGTCGGACTGTACCGCAAACACGCCTGTCCGCCGGCGCACGCTACCCCCCGCACCGCGCGAAGTGCGCCGGCAGCAGCTGCGTCCGCGACACTGTGGCTCTGGTGGGACACCGCGCAGGCCATGACCACTGCTAGAGTAGAGTGCTGGAGAGGCTCGCCGGTCCGGGAACACTCCGAATCTACCGTCAGTCGACGACGGGCACTCTCGAGCAGTGGCGGACCTTGGTGTGTCGGGTACAGGAGAGGGTAGACCTGAGAGCCCCGGCGGGGTGAGACGGGTCCGGCTGCAGGGCCCCAGTTCTCACGCGGGGGCAGTTCATGGTCCTGATGGCGTTCCTAATGATGACAAAAATAGAGCTGGAAGACGAAACAAAAATAGAACAAGATTGCGGAATGAGTTTACTTGGTCCGGGCCGTGTCCTTCATTCAAACACGAGGCCACTGATTTTCCGTAGAGGCCTTGCGGACGTTGTACGACTCGTTCGAAACAGTTTCAAGCCTGGGTTGTCAAGAGTGCTACCCTCAGCATAAATCCGGTGAGATATTCCTACTGTAAGGTACACAGTGGTGGTACTTTCACTCAAGTGTTTACGTGGAAGCAGGGTCGCAGAAAGGATCTCTTAAGGGGGACGGGTTCGGTGAGTGCGCATTCTGCCGATTTTTATTCTTCTCTCGGGAGCCATCTGGATCGAAAACAAAATTAAGAACTTGGGCCTAAGGGGGGGGGGGAGGCAGCCCCCTTGGCTGCTCCCCTGCACGGAAGGTAATTGCCAGCTGCAATAGAAAGACCAGTAGAATGAACAACCCAATTCTCATGATATAATATTCTACATCTTATTCAGTCATACTTTCAACACTCAGATAGGGCTTCATTCGCCTCCCCTCCCTCCCCCATCCCCAACCGAACTTGGCTCCAGCCCACTGAACACAGAAAAAGTGGTCCAGAATCGGAGAGGAACCCGTTTGTTGGGGTATTTTGATGAGATATTTCGCCATTTCTCACTGCTCAGACCCCCCCCCCCTTTAAACCCACCTGGCGAAACTACAGCCGTTTGAGACTAAGTTTCATTGTGGCGAAAACCAAGGCTTTTTCATACTCTACCGGTTTTGCGTTCTTTCCTTTAGTTTCTTCCCACATTGAGGAACCCAATACGAACATGGGTAAAGGTCTGCAATGTTTGTCTAGTCACTGCGACATTTCATTGTCTAAAATCCCCGATATTCCCATAAACCGGTTAGAATATGTAAGGGCTGTATTAAAAAATTTAGACATCCAATCTTTCCGTAGAAATCCCCCCCCCCCCAATGAATTTCACGGGTTCCACTGATGGCTCCGCCCATGAACCCTACTTTAGTGACCACTGGAACGGGCCAGGTCGTGCCCAAACACGGACATGAATGCAAATTACTTTCACTGATCTCGTGTTCACGCTAGCCGTTGGTTCTTGCCCGTCCAGGAAGTGAATGAAAACGCGTGGCAGTGAACAAAGGGAGCGAATCCAATTAGCTGTTGACATCCATCTCGTTGCACTCAAGCAGCAGGTAATTGTTCTCAAGAACAAGAGCAGACCCTGCACTGGTACCCCAATTGGCCGTAGTTGGTCGGTAAAGTTCAATCTCACGCGTGACCGCAGGCCTCGCGAAATAAGCCTGATGACCATTTCAGTCCGGCAGACCGAGGCGGGTAGCCTGTTTACGGGCTAGCCGGGAAAGGGTAGCCCGCCTCCAGCCAACGGAACTCCGGGGTTCAGAAAACGCGTTCCCGGTGGCTTAATAATAGTCCCTGCGAGGCTGAAAATAAATCCGATCAGCTCGAATTGCGATGATTGCATTGCTGTGTTATCCAAGCATCGGACGAGATCGGCGGCGACGTGAAAGGACGACAACTGTTGCTATACTGCAAGCAACAGTAGTTGGGCCATGCTATAAATATTTGAATATAATCTAAGGGGCATGGGATAACGTTTAACGTGTAAACGTTGTTGCTTGGAGCCTTTCCCCGCTCCGCTCCGCACACATTTGGCAGGGTCTGGCAGCTGCCGCGTCCTTCCGACCTACCTCAATGAGATCGTTGGGCACGCGGCCCATCCACGAGAGCGAGAGGATGTGGCAGTCGGACCGGGCATGGCAGTCCTTCTCCAGGTGGAAGTGCATGGCGACGCCTGCCGACGGCTTCACCGGGCTGCTGCCGGCCGCGGGCTGGCGCTCCACACGGCTTCCGGACGCAGCCGCCGGTCAGCGCCGCCGCGCGCACAGCCCATGGTCCAGTCGACACCGGCCGGCCGCCGCACCCCCGCCAGGCGACGCGCGCTGCCCGCCCTGGCCAGCTCCGCCCTGCGCACCACCGTCCGGCAATGGTATGGGCGAGAAAATCGAAGCCGTGCGCCGCGTCGGCGACTAACCTGCGCTGCATCGGCGCGTCGGCGGCGACGACAGACGACGGCGGCCCGCGCAGAGACATCTAGTGAATGTTTGGTGAAACGATGGTTTGATTTGATGCCGACAGAATTTCCGTTGTGGAAGCGGAAGGAGGCGAGGGTATTTGCGGAGCGGGATGTGATAAGGTTTGGCAAAGTCATGTGAAACGTCCTTCCAGCTCTCAAATAGCGTGATGTGCTGGGTATGAAGTATGCATTCTAACGAGGACAGTGGGTGGGGTCGATTAGAAGACATCGGGTCTAAACAACAAACGCAGCTTTTTATCCCGCGTTCCCGCCACATCTGGCCCGGTAAGAACACACGGCCGCGGACCACATCTGGCCCGACAAGGACACGTGGACACGGATCACATTTGGCCCGACAAGAACGCGCGGAACATGCGGACATGAGCTTTGGGCCAGACCTGGTGGGATTTTACGGGTCAAAAGTTTTGACAACCAAAATTATTTTTTGCTACCACTTGAGTTTAAGATTGTTTTGAAATTCAGAGTGCAACTCCACATACCATACGGTTATGAAAATGTGCATGTTATATGCCTGGCAAGGGCTGCGTTGAAAACGTAATTCAGGCTGCACAAATTAAACTATTAGATGTAAACACCTCACTGAAAAAGTCGAGAAGAGCCACCGCGTTTGCTACGCTTCCCAAGTGTGGCAAGCGTGGCCTGAAGGCAAGGTGCTCTTTAAAAAAAATTGTAGCATGCACAAACCACACCTCCAGAATCAATATAAATGGTAAATGAAATTACCCGTAAACTGTGTGACTTTCATTTCCCTAGCCTCGGTTACTGGTCCATATAACCCGCAGTTACTGATGCATAGTGCGCGTAACAGTTTTCGAAATCTACAGTGCTAACAAGTGCCCGCAGGCTTACTTCGCTAAGCAACGGATATCGTGCTTTGAAAACGCATGTAAAATCTTGTGGCGTTTTATAGACGGTTTGTTTTCGCATTATTGCTGAATGCGTTCAGCATCATTGCTAGGATTGCCTGGCCGATCCGATCTCGGGCTGCCAAGATACCTGACGGGAACCTGGTGTGATGTGCTACCTGCCAGGAACGTATGTGGGTCACAGCAAACAAACTTTATCTGTAAACCAGTTTTTCATGGAGCAACGTATGGTGAATCGCTTACAAATTTAACTATCCGTGGAGTGAACTCAACGCATCTCAAGATCGAGATTCGAAACCACATGATACAAACACAGTGTCGCACCAATTAGGCGACCAATGTCTATGTCTATATCACGACGCATGACAAAATGGCATGCTTTGTGCTATTGGTGAGCATTGCCTGCTGGACGTACAAACACAAATACAACGAATTTGCTCAAAAGATTGGCACTGCAGAAATAAAATCACATTACCAAGGTCTGTGCGTACCCCTAACTTTTGGCGAGACGAAAAAGAAATATAGCTCACAACCAATGTAGTAGAACGGGCTGGGAATGACGTTAATTCACAGATTTGACTACTACAAGCTCCTAATTGGCCACATCTCGCTTGGTATCTGAGAAAAATGTCAATCGCGTTACTATTGTCGCCTCTTCGGTACTCCACACTTTTCAGAACATACCGATTTGCGGGATGAATGAGGTGTGGAAACAGACAACAACAAAAAACAGATGATCCACATTAAACGATTTTCTGGTTGACTTATTGTTTGACCTCAAGTCATTGCCAGAATTCTTAACAATTGAAAACAGCCTGGGCAAAACAAAAATTCAAGAAACAAATTATATAAGCAGAGGCTGTTGATGATTAAACAAGGTCAAGGTCAAGGTCAAGGTCATTGTCAATGTTGATGATTAAACAAGGTCAAAGGTCAACACAACACCACTCATGTTTCAAGACCATTTGCAGTCTTAAATCAGAGCACAATTATTAGACACCACACCATACATCACACCACAAATATTGAATGAGCAAATTACGTTGACCTAAGGTCAGGTATGATGGTCAGACCAGGGTGAAAGTCAACCTGATTTATTACTCTAGGGCTTGCTGTATGGGATAGTTTCTGGTGCTCATTTCGAATTTATTGACAGCAGGAACCGCATTATACATTTTCAGTTGAGTTCTTAGAGGTCAGAACAGGCCACTGACCTAAGACGACCCGGGTCGAACCTTTTGTTCTAGGGATATACTGCCTAGTGTAATCGTTGTCGCTTATTCAAATGCAAAACGCAGATCAGTCTTGTATCATTTTGGTCACCATGACCTTCAAAGGGTTAAACAAGGTAAATGGCCTCAAACGGGCTTGTGAACTTTTCCTTAGAGACAGTTCCCTGGGTTCTGGGGCGCTTTGGAGACCAACCTGGAATTTCACCTTGTTTGACCTTATTCTACCTGAAGGTCATGACCTAGGAAGCTGAAACCTTAACCTAAGTGAGTCCACGTATAGGTCAAGACACCTTGTAAATTTGGTGTCTCTAACTTTCTTAGTTCCCGAGATCTCAGATGGGAGGGGGTAAATTGACCCCCTCCCCCCACCTGAGCGAAGGGTATCTAGCCGGCCAACCGGGAGCGTGTTAAAGCACAGTAATTTCATGAGAGCATTATGAGCATTACAAATTATTAACACCAATAATTCGATGATGCACTTTTCAATTCCGTTCCACAGCACTTTTAAAACAAAACAAAGCAAAAGAATTCAATAACAAAATAACAACAGAAAATTCGACAAGCACAAAACACTCAAACAAAAAAAAATCGGACTTCTACACATCAGCCCATCACCAAGTCAAACACAATAGACATACTTCTGGCTTCTGTTGAGATGGGGTCAAAGAAAACAAACATTTTGTCACTGTTTTTTACAAAATACCAATGCTTATCTCCATGAAAGTAGCCTACGTCCAACCTAAAGAGGCGTTACATCGTCTCATCCTGTATAACCTGTTCGTATCACAGCAGCGATTGTGAGTTACTGATTCTTGCACAAGTCCTACTGCCACTCGCTATGCGCCTGACCAACTTATCCTAGCTTAGAGTAGCCCATGTGGTGAACATCATCTGAACTCACCAATCTGTTGACAGCAGCACTTGTGATAAAAACATATTTAAAGCTAGTTTTTGGCTGGTTCCAACTTGCATTTTTATTCAGTTCATTTGTGTATGTTTGTTGACATCAGACGAAGTTGACAACACACAAATCAAAGCACTTTAAATCACTTTGAACAACTTATGTTGATTGTCATGGCTAATTTATGTCAAGGGCAATAATGGGTATGCTCCACAAAACAACTTCTCTTCTCCAAGAATAATACAACTTTTAGATGAACATGCCAGTATTGCTGCTTGCCTTTTCAGCTGCAGCAAATGCATCCATTTGGGCTTGTTTATTCATATTTAATGACAAAGTTTGACATGTTGGCTTCACATTTTAAATGGGGTGGTCTGACTATTTGTTACATGCCAATATTTAACTCATAATTAAAATTGCTACACAGTTTAGAGTATCCCTGTGTTAAAAATATAGTGCATATATACAGTACAGTGATTTGCCGGTCAACAAACCATGACAACTGAAGAAAACATGCGGTTTAAGCAGCCATAAGGGACCAGTTAAAGAAATTGGGGGCAAATTGCCAAAAATATGGAACAAAATAAGCCCATTGCATGCCTCGTCCATCATAATTTGTCTTATGGCAAAACTCGATGCATTAAAACTGAACATGGGTAACTATGGCTACCAATTATGTGTTGAAAGCAGGTAAGGTAAGCAATTACTTCGTCCACAAGAGACTTACTGGCTTCTTCCTGCTCCCCTCAAAACAAAAACTCAGTACCTTTTGCATAGGCTGCTGGCAGACAGAGCCATCCGGCTCACTCCCAAATATAAGGATCAATCCCCACCAACCTTCGAGATTAAAATGCGGAACAAGTAAGAGGTGTGCATGATAAACATCTCCAGAGGGCAGAATTTCGCCATCAAACACTTCCGCATTAGCTGCGCCAGGTCTGTCCTAAGGCTCTATATAGCAGCATTTATTGTAATGCTGATGCCTTGCCACGTAGCCTGGTGAGTCAGACACTCGAAAGGCTTGGACTTATCATTATTGAACACCGCCATGAACCAAGAAAACGGTTAACCGAAGGTTTAAGAGGGCAAAAATGGCGTTAAAAATAAGCTCCGCGCTTCAAATTGTCTCCTTCATTTCCTGTGAATTGTGCATGCTTGGATGCATATCAAACATGTTTGGGCAGCTGGCGAATTCATCCAATTTATGTATAAGATACGTACAAGTTTGCAGCTGAAGCATCCTGCAGAGAAATTTGTCAAAATTTTAAGCAGAAGATGGTACATTTAAAGACAATAGAAAAGGAAGGATGACTGAAGTGGTATGACACTGGTATGATACCAAGAAAAACAAAAGGAGCCAAATAAATATAAAGACTGGCACTTTTCTCGCAAAATTTTGTTATCAGCTGATTTGACTTAAAATACATTAATATCAGTGCTCACATGGTGATTTTCATCTCGCAATTTTAATTTATAAGACATCTCTTGAACTTTTCACTCATGCATTTCGGGAGTGATGCAATTTAGTGGTCAAGTTTCCTCGGGAAAAAGAAGTACGCGGAGTAAAATTCTCTACCAGGCCTTGCTGGTGTTTGCACCAGGCTCTGCTTTCGTGGTGTGGTGGTGAGACCAAAAAAACAGGGGATGCGTGAAAACCTTGCATTTGGCGCACAGCTGCAGATTGTGATGCATTTTGTAAACAAACCAAACTTAATGCGTGCAAGCGGCTGGGGTTGCTGGGGTTCTTGGACTTGGAGGTACCTGG